TTAACTGCCGCCAGCTCCATCAGAGCCAAATCTAGCGTATATGACATGCTAACCAAGGCTATTGATATACTTACTATATGTAGAGCTGGCTAAGGAGCCATGAGGGCTGGCAGCGAAATAGAAATCAATAAAAGGCCTATAAACAATATTGTTGCTTGTTAGATGAGAGTGCAGTAGCTGATGAGAAGAAATGTTGCTATTTAGAAAATAATACGAGTTCTTTACAAAATACTATATGTATCGCAGATCAGTATATATTTATTACCAACTGCAAACAGAAAATCAACCACATACATATACTCAAGATATTTTAGCTACCGAAAACAGGAGGTCAGAAGAGCCAACTTAACATGACCAGACTCTAAGAGAAAAGCCACAGACCTGTCCGACTGATCAGCTATCGTTAGACAGGAAGTGGTGGTAGTCTTCCCTTCACTTTAAAACAACTTACCATATTCACATTTATTCGAAATAAAAACGTTATTAAAACACAGATTAGCTAAGAATGATCACACAAGTTACATGCTCTTCAATCAATGCAAACGATGTTGTAATAGGAAATAATACTTTTTACTTTTTAATCTTATAACAATTTTTTTTTATTTGTTTATTTATGCCAGCTAAATATATCTGCTTATAATAATAAATAAATAAATCAATTTTAATAAAAACCCTAGTTCTTACTCTAATAGTCCCTAATGGACACTCTAGAATTTATTTAAAGTAATATATATTTCGTTTTTGGAAAACCTATGCTAATATTTCTAAATTATGAAGTTCTTGAAAAAAACAAACTTTAATGAACACGTAATGAAAATGGGCCAAAAAACTTTACTAATAAATTTTACACATTTTTTATAAAAGAGAGGAATATCTTAAAGGCGAAATACCTTTTGTTTTTTAATCTCAAGTGAGCTCTCGCTCCCCTCACTAATATCTTCTACCTTAATTTGTTTTTTTTATCTAATCATATTTTTTTTTATTTTTTATTTATTTTATAACGTATCTGACTGGTCTCTGCTGTGAATCGGAGCATAGCTGGACGTTTGGATTCGTTATTAGATATTTTGTAAATTTTATAGGCTTTTTATTTCTTTAGTTTTATTTAGCTTAAGTTGATTTTTTTGTTTTTATTTTTTTTTACATCAAAAGCATTGTTTGTCGATTAAAAAAATAAATAAATATAAATACTTTTATATCAGTTCTCGAGAATTTCCGCTAGCCAGGAAAAAATAAAGATGCCAGCTAAAATAAGTTTTCATTGGATTTGGTTGCTTATTCCAAAACAATTTAGTGTATGCCTACAAAAGTTAATATTACTTGAAAGGCAGTTAAATACACTTGTCTTTAAAAGTGTTTTAACTTACATTGTTTTTGTGTTTTATATGTATGCTTGAAAATTTCGCGAGTACGTAGAATTGATTCCCGAACTCTCATCTGTGCTGACAACTCAATTCCACTTTCACTTATCAACTGATGGTCAACTTCTGGTAATGTTTCGGCTGCTGTAGTATCTGTATCTGTATCTGTAGCTGCTTGGACATGTGTCTGGTAGCTCGCACTCACTGTCGCCTCATTAGCAGCGTACCAGGAAAGTGCAGTACTTGGCCCAGAAACTACTTCCACTTGACGCCTGCTTAAGTGCGAAATTTGACAACCCGTACAACTGGTAGTTGGTGTATACGCACCTACCTATGGATGGGAAGCAACTATGTACTCGTACTGCAGAGGGCAATTGATAAATGGTTGGTCCACTGGGCTCGTATTTTGACATAAGTCTCATAAATCTTGGGCAGTGGTGCGCAGACGCAGACGCAGACGCCGCAGCCGAAGCCGAAGCCGCGACATCATAAAGTCACATAATTCAAAATGCCAGAGAACTGGGAATGGGAACTGGAAACTGGGAGTGTATGCTAAGAGTAATACAAGTGTTTGTGTCGAACTAAACTAAGCTAAACTAAACAGAGTCCGTTGGGTGCGCGCCCAGTTTTCTATGAATTGCGACATGATAAAATAACATTGGCTTCGTATTTCGGGGCAAAAGAGACAGCGACCCAAGGAAACGAGTGTACGCGTCTACCAAGGACAATGGCATACACAAATAAACAAACGACGGCAGCACTTCAGATCAAAAATGGCATGACATTTTGTATGGAGCTGCTGTTCGAGTGCTGCAAAGTACAGTAAGGACAGGACAGCAGGGCACAGGACAGTAAGTAGAGGAGCTAAAATGCAAAACAAATACGCACTTCCTGCGAGCAGCGCGAGCGACGCGCCAAGTGAGCGGACATGTCTCGCTAAAGTGGCGCACAAAAGAAGTTACTTCCTGGCACGCTGCTGCATCGGACCAGCATCGGATTCCGAGCGGATCGACGTAGTCCCGAGCTCAAGATAAAAATGAATTTATTGCCAGTGGGCCCCGAGGTTATTTGAGATATGCGGACATGCGCTTGAAGTCTTAGCTAAAATTGCATAAAATTCTAGCGATAGCCTATTAAAGGACATTGGCTTATCCTCGTATTTTGACACCTACACACTGTGCCAGTCCCATTTCCATTCCCATTCCTATTCCTATTCCCATTCCAGTCAATGTTGCCTAAGACCAGCTTCGGACCAGCGCTATCCCCTCGCTTTTGTTATAGTGCAGTAGCAGTAGCAATAAGCTCCTTGCGATATCCGGTAACAATGCCAATGCCGTTTTCACTCTCCTTTTTATTTTTCATCTCAATCCGAGTCGCATTCGCATTCGCATTGGCAGTCTTGTTTCGTTCCTTTTAGCTGCTTCCTGGTTTTATCCTCAGCATCTTAAGCTGACATACAATCACATTTCACATTTCGTATTCGGCATTGTCTGCATTTCTGTCTACTGTTCTGTCTACTCGTACCTTCCTTTCTGGTCCGTCTTCCGCTTTTGAGGGAAAATATCGCAGTTTTTAGCAATGATATGCGCTGGCTCGCCTTGCTTCCTGTTGTTGTCTCGGGGCGGGCCTCCGCCCGACTGCTCAACGTTGCCTGGGCAGGCAACACCCCATTCTATACAGTCTATACAGTCCATCCATCCATCCATCCATCCATTTATGCATTTTTCCATCTATCATGTAGCGTGTCGATCGAGAATTGAGGATCGTCGCCTGCACGTGTCCAGTCCACCGACATTTGCATAATTGTCTAATGTTTCGGGCTGAGGATGCGGCTGTGGCCGTGCCTATGTGGGCGTGGCGCATGCGCATGCCCCATGCGACATTCCTGCATTAGTAATGAGCACACACACATACATACATATGTACGTGTAGTTCTGTATCGCCTTGACAACTCATTTGCAATATCCTTTGCCTTTATTAGTTTCTTTTGGGTGTGTTTTTTTTTATGTCCTGCGCCTTGGCACACGCGCAAGCTTCAACGTCAACGTTCTGCTCGAGCTGCTGGCGCTGAAGCAAGAGCAGGAACTGAGTTGCCAGGGTGCGTTTTCCTTGATAGGGGTAGGCGAGGCGAGGCGAGGCGCGACTTTCTACCCGTGCCACAAAGCGGAAGTGCATTTTATGGCTTGTGATTACGTCCAGCTTTAAAGTTCCTGTTGCTATTGTTATTGTTGTCGCTCTTACCGTGAATAGGGGGTTGGGGTGCGCTCTAACGTCAGCCAGCCACGTGGGCTGCGCGCTGTCCTAGTCCTTGCAATCATCGTCCTCGTTACTCTGGTCCGCTTAAATTCCTCAGGCGTGACTGCCTATTTCCGTTTGCCAGCAATTTATGCGCTATTAAAAATTCTAACCTGAATTGAAACTCGTGAAAAAGTAGTAGCTTTCTGTTTTTTTTTTTAGTTTTAATTTGTTGCTGTTATTTCCGGTGCCGTGTTGAGTGGGTTGCCATGGGTTTGTCTGAGCTTGTTATTGTCCTCACTACAAGGCTTGCCTCATGAGTCATGATCAGACCCATTGCCTCTGGATTTGTTGCCTTGAGAATCGATTCAGCGATGCTGGTAAGATATTTATATAGTCTACTAGTATATAGGGTATATTTTCAATACAAGTATACAGGAGACAAACTCTCTCTTTAGAGTAAGGCTAAGAGTAAGAATAGGTCTGCTAAGCGATCGTTCAAGTTCAGATGTAGTCTACTATGTATTATATTATTATTTTCTGATTTCATAAATTATTGATATACAGGAGACAAACTCTCTTCAGAGTAATGCCAAGAGTAAGAAGTATTATTTTATGACTTTTTTATATAATGTTTCAATATACAGGAGACAAACCCTCTTCAGAGTAATGCCAAGAACAAGTGTGCTAAGCGATCATTTAAGTTCAGGTGGAAATATCCCATTTAAAAACTAAATAAAAGCTGTGCCAATGACATACAAAGAAAGAAAGAACATATTTCTTTCGCATCACCATTCAGGGTACAAACAACTGTTTATGGAAAGGAAAAAATAGACTCTACTCGTAGATATAATTAAATTAGTGACTACTAGAAGCAGCTGGAAAAACTGATCTATTATATTGCTGATAGTTGAGAGCCGCTAAAATGTTGTTTGATTTCATCTGCTTTAGTAAAAAATATTGCTATAGGCTGTATGCTGAAATATGATCAATATGAAATATATATGAAGATAAATAAAAAGTAAAATGTGAATTTTGGTTTTCAAGTTTGTTGGATTTATTTGTAATAGTTCTTAAAAGCTAAATAGTTTAGTGTCTTCCATGTTGCTTATAACAAAACTTAAAACTATGAAAAAAAAGTATGTTTTAAATCATTGTCTTCCATGGTCTTAGGGCTACAAAAAAATTAAACTTATGCCTAGTTAATGGATCTGGGACTTGGGTGTTTTCTCACTTAAGCGCACTAAGGCACAGCAACGATTTGTTAATTACAATAATTTACAATTTGTACAAAATTCTTTTTGGCTTGCTTCTCTCTCTCTCTCTCTCTCTCTATCTCTCTCTCTCTCTATCTCTCTCTCTCTCTGTGTGTCGGTGAAATGTGTTTTTCAACTATAAACCGATTCATTGCTCCTGCCACGATGAGATATAGTCGAGCAGCTCCTCATCATCAGGCTGCTCATCGCTGAAGCTGTCGAAGGACTCGAATTTGAACTGCGCATGCGCATCGCGTTCCTGCGGCTCGATTTTCACAAAGTTGGCGGAGACATCGGAATCGCTGTAGGAGGGCGTAGGCGAGGACGAGTGGAAGGAGTGCGACTGTGCTTCGTTGAACTGTTGAGGGCTGTTCAGTGAATCGTAATCGTAGCTGCCGTCATTGCTGCTCTCATCCGCCGAATTGTAGATTTGTCGCTGACGCGACTGGCCGGGCTGAGCATCGTCCAGCAGGTCCTGCAGACCACGTATATACTCGACCGCAATACGCAGAGTGTCGACCTTTGAGAGTTTCTTGCTCGCACCACGTCCACCATTTGACAGGGTATTGATGACAGTCTGGGGCAGATGCTGGCGCAGATTCACGAATCCATTGTTCACCTGCTTGACGCGATTGCGCTCACGGGCATTGCGACGTGCCACCGATGGCAGTTGCTCGCCGTAGGGCATATTCGCATAGGTGTACTTTTTCTTGGGCAGCATCATGGGTCCAACGGAGCCGCCAAGCTGCATGTTCTGCAATTGGCTGTTGCCCAAAGGCTGTTTGGGGGCAATCAGCTGATGTTGCTTGGCGTAGGCGGCGACCGCTTGTTGCTGCTGCTGCTGGTGATGTTGTTGCTGCTGATGCTGGAGCAACATGATGTTGCCGTTCGTCAGCTGGAAGTGCTGATAGTTGCTGGCTGATTGAGGCGGCATGCACAGGCTCGTCATTTTATTGGCTTGTGTTTTTTGTCGTTCTTCAATAATCCTTTTAAATATTCCACTGAGCTGACACACACAAACACAGGAGACTAAGTTTGTCGCTGAGATATGTTGCTTGCTTGCTGGTTGGTTAGCTTGAGTTGTTGACTGTTTGGAATCAAATTCCGCAATGATAACCTTCGTCCTTTGCCGGGCCCTTAAGTACTTGTTGACGCTGCTGCCTGCCTAGCTGTGGCTGTGGCAGTGGCAGTGGCTGCGGCTCTGGCTGTTGCTGCCGTGCCTGCGTCACAGTCAGCTGAGGCAGCGACACTGCTGTTGGTGGTTGCTGCTACCTGCGCTCTTTGTGCAACAACAAACAACAACAGCAGCAAAGGGTACTTGGAGCGTACAAGTGATCGTTGAGATCATTCTCTCCCTCTCTCCCTCTGTATCTCTCTTTGCTCTTTGCTTGCTGCCCGATAGCTGCAGCGCAAGTGTCGCCAGCGTTTTAGGGGTTGCTGTTAGCAGGAGTCTTAGCAGAGCAGAGCAGAGCAGCGCTGAGCAGAGCAGAGGAGTTCAGCAGCCTACGAGTATGTGGGTGCACAGTTCCAGACTCTGTTAACAGATCGTCTATACTATCTATGACTAAAGCACACACACACACACGTGCAGCGTGCCTAAAATGATTTATATCCTCTGCCTAGGCGCTCTTCCCGTGCTGCCTGCCTGCCTGTCTGTCCTCCGTCCTCTGTCCTTCTACTTGCTCCGCTCTCGGCTTTGTCAATGCGTAACGCTTTTGTCTCTGCTCCTTGCTCACTGTTTACATTTTCATATTTTCTTCTTTGCTTCGTGTTCGTGTGTCCTTTTGCCAAAATCTTTTCACACACATACATGCTCACATACTATGTACTATATGTATGTGTATGTATTTTTCTTTACTTTTCAACGATTTACTTTACTTTGCTTTGGTTTTCATTTCTTTTCTTATTTTCTATTTAATGCCTTTCCTTGCTTCTTTTGGGAAAATGTCTCAGCATTGAGGCAGTGTGTGTGTGTGTGTCTGTGTGTGTATTTGTAGTAGTTGGTGCTTTTGTTGTTGTTGCGCTTACTTGTCGCTGTCGTTGTCGTCGTCTTTACAATGCACTGCATACAACTGATCCTTGTCAAGAAAGGACTCAACATTCGCTTTTCAATACACTTCCACTTTTTGTTGTGGAACATCGTAGTCGTCGTTGCTGTTGTTGTTGTTGTTGTTGTTTTTGCTGTTGCTGTGCACATTGAAAGCAAAATTTTGTATCTCTAGGCAGGGGCAGGGGCAGGGGCAGAGAGACACAGGCTCCCTCTCTTACTATATATACATACATATGTATGCATGTGTGTACTTGTACACGTGTGTATGAACTATATAGAATAGTATGTCTGTATGTTTATATGTTTGCTGGGAACTCGATACTCACATGGCATGCATGTGATCCATCATCTTCAAGGCGTTGCTTGAACCTTGCTTGGGGTGTTGCCCGGGCCAGGCGTTACATGTGCGCCTGAACTTCCCCGACCCAACCACTTTCACTGCGTCTCGAGCGCAGAAATAACCCATTCATCTAATGTAGTTATGTGTGCATACATACGTGTAAGTAGTAAGTATTTCAAGAAGTTCTAAAAAACGAACACATTTCAATCCACAAATCCACTTGTAAGGGCACATTTTTGATTAATCAATGGACGTTTGAATATTTTCGGTTGGACAGGAAAATACTCGTAAAATCTCTATTTACGCAAAAATGTATTAAAATGTCTTGGACAACATGTATTAGTTGACTTCTATATATCTGTAATGACTGTTGATGGTTTTCTTTTCGTTTCAATAACTATAAAACTTCGTTAGTAGGTATGATATCTGTTTCAATAAATTGGTAATCAAACGATCGCTTAAACGAAATAAAAGCTAAATAAATAAAACATCTCAATCTTAAGCATTTTAAGATACTATATATTTTATTCAAATGCTTCAAATTGTTATGTTTTTAAATAATCTGTTATTTTGAGCTACAACTTCTAGCTAGAATTACACCTAATTCGGTTTTTACATGGTCTTTTTTACACGGTTTTGATTTAACACGGTTTTTACTACTTTTTCTGGAAGTAATCTAACGTTTAAAAACATAATTAGGTAGACGCTTATCATATATTCGACACATAACACCTGAAGTGGTGCTGAAATTTGAAAAGCTGTCTGATAAACGGTATAAAATGTTTTGGATATCAATGCCTTTGGCACAATTTCAAACTCGATTCTCATTAGAGAGTCAATTTCTAACTTAACAGAACTTGAATAAAAACAATTTTTATAAAAAAAAAAAAACAAAATCATCGATTGAAAATATAAAAGGATTTCGAATGTGAAGACATGGTATTTCAAAATCTGAACACGTTATTATTATTATTATATACATAACAAACGTATTTTCATTTCAACTAGTTTGAAATACTTATTATATACATTTTATATTCATATTTGATTTGTTTTTTCATAAAAAATGACTTGATTTGCCTTTAATACATACTATATATAGGTTAATCTTTTGTATATATCTGATTTTTCAATAATAAATTAACTGCATTGAGCATTAGCCAATTATTATAATTATTTGTTAATTCGTAAATAAATAAATTTACGCGACATCACAATTATGAGCTTTACTCAAAAGCCGATCAATATGAATGCTGCTAGGAAGGGTGTACAAGTATTTATTCGAGAGACTTTTTGCATTGCTCTGCATGTGATGAGATTTTCAACATGCACATAACATTACTCGTACTTGTACATCCACATCAGCATGCTTTTTATGTCAGCATTATTTTGAACTTCGTGTTGTCCTTGAGCCAGCACAGAACGGTCTCCTTAGTCTGCATTAAGTGCACCCGCATTTGACACGTGCTTCCGATCGCGCATGATTAACATAAACACTGGCGGCCAGACAAATCCCACAAGTGTGTGCCGCCTCATGCATTTCAACGAGCTCATTGCTGCTTCTGGCGCTGACCACCGTTCCAGACCAGCCGTCCAAACGTCCAACAGTCCAACCGTCCAACTGTCCAATTCCAAGTGCAACTCATTTGCGTAAGCTTGGCGCAGCTTTGTCACGAAGCTGCAATACTGTAACCGACATTGATGAGGCACAGCCAGCCAACCATCCGTTGATGTTGATGTTGATGTCGATGTCGACGATCATGACGGTTATGGTGATGGCGATGATCGTGGTGGTGAACGTGGTGGTGATCGTGATGATGGTGACGATGAGGCCGGGACGTTAGCGTTGGCGTTGGCGTGGCTATCGTCGTGTCATGTGGGACAGCTGCGCAGCGCCGGCGCACGCGCGCCAAAAGTCACATGCCTCTACCGTCGATCCCATAAGTATTGTGACCACCATATGCTAATTCTATAGGTGATCGGAACAGCAAGCGCAAGTTGGTTGGTTACAGCTTCCCAAGCTCATGCAGTGTGGATTTGTTTAGATTACATCAGATTATAATTTCCTTACTTACAAGTAATGGACAAAAAGTGTTAGTCTTTTGAAAAAGTATTGAAACAATGGTATGATTTATAATTTTTATAATAATATTTTTTGATAGATCTAGAAAAAAGTTGCTGTATTCTGAAATTGTTTTCATTGTTAAATGATTTTTGATAATTAACATTTTATTTTATTCGCTTTTCAGCCATTTATTTAAATATTTTGATTATTTTACTTGCTGCTGTCAGCATACCAAATTATTTTCAAGCTATCAAAATTATGATCTTAAAAAAAGTGGCTGTACGAAATTACTTAATTTTAAGATGACAACTAAACATCGATTATATTAATGCCTTGCATCAGCAAATTTGCTAAACATTTTCTTTTTAAATACATACATTGGTTTTATGAGACAAAAACATTCCTAAAAGTTTTTGTTTTATTGAAGTATGTGGCAGCTGATAATATCAACATTAAAGTTATTGGTATTTATGGAAAAATATGTAAACATTATACATATTAATGATTCCAGTAAAGAATTTAAAAATCTTAGAAGGATATTAACGAACAATAAATGAATTACTGAGTTTCTTCGAGCTTTGCATCCTTTGCGTAACGTTGCTTTACTTTATTTATAAGTATTATGCCGCTTATTTTGTTTACATATCTTTTCATATTAACGGTCCATTATTTATTTGTATAATAGTAATACATTTTTAATCGTAACTTATTCTTGTGAGACTCACAGTACTAAGTTATTGAACACTATATTAACATTTGAACTATATCCCGGTTGGTGCGAAATGTGTATTATTTACACATGCCTTGGATCAGGAATTGGACTGGTACCTCAATTCTTTCGAGTCTAAGTGAGTGACTGGGCTATTTGGTTCGGATAAATATTTAGTTTGTCGGCATATCTGCGTTGGAGTTGTGCTAATTATTACTGTTGCTATGTAAACGACATTCGTTTCCAATATACCAGGGAGCTTCTCTGCTCGCCCATGCATTTTTCCATAGCTATAAGCCATAGATCCTGACTGTTATTACAGCTTACAAGCCAATTTAGAGTGTTCCTTTTAAGGTTCATATATACTTTTTCGATGTGTTTGCGAGTATTCCGTCGAGAAGTACATCAAGGTATACAACGTGATTAGACAGACATTATCTTAACTCCGTTGCATCATTTTTGGAATTAGTATCTGTTTAAAGACTTTAAAAATTATAAGTATATAAGTATGTATAAGTATTCGAAAAGTTCCTAACTTATTTATACGAGTAGTAAATAGGGAAATATGTGTTGAACAATTGTTACCCATATAGGGTGAAGTAGGTAGGTTGATTTGTGTTTGTCAAAATACTTTCTCCTCTCAGTGCCGCTCTTGCGCCTGTTGACTGAGTGGCGCTGCGCTATTTATAACAAGTGAGGCTGGTTGCTGTACGCTTACAGCTCCCATAAACTGTCATAAATTTGTTGTAGTTGGTTGGCTCGCATATAGTACAACTTTGTTGCGT